CTGCACTATGTGTCACACGCTCCTGACCCCTGCACTATGTGTCACACACTCCTGACCCCTGCACTATGTGTGTTACACTCTCCTGACCCCTGCACTATGTGTGTTACACTCTCCTGACCCCTGCACTATGTGTGTTACACTCTCCTGACCTCTGCACTATGTGTTACACACTCCTGACTCCTGCACTATGTGTCACACACTCCTGACCCCTGCACTATGTGTCACACACTCCTGACCTCTGCACTATGTGTTACACACTCCTGACTCCTGCACTACATGTTACACTCTCCTGACCCCTGCACTATGTGTGTTACACTCTTCTGACACCCCCCCGCCCGCACTATGTGTGTCACACTCTCCTGACCCCTGCACTATGTGTGTTACACTCTCCTGACCCCTGCACTATGTGTGTTACACTCTCCTGACCCCTGCACTATGTGTGTTACACTCTCCTGACCCCTGAGCCGCTTTCATTTGTCTTTATACCTTTTTGGGGTTCAGCTTTATGTATGGATTTCCTTGTTGCAGAGATTTGCACTGTGTGCTGTTGGTCCCTGAGGGGGTGACTTGCCCTTCTGATATTCGCTCTCGGCAGAGAATGTAACTTGTCAAAGATATAAAACTGTAACATATTGTTCAATAAAATCTCACGCTGCATAAAACTGTGCTGATCCCGCCCTATACCGCGGCAGAGTGAGGGAGCGGCGCATAGCCAGACTTCTTCTACAGGTGTGGATCGGCTTCAAGGTGAACTCCGCGCACACAAAATCTTTTATTGAAATATATTCCTCAATAGATACAAAGGACAGAAATCCACTTCGTGCACCGAATACCTTCACATACCAGATATTACATTGTAAATGTAGCAGTGATACTATCACTGTGATGTACAGAGCTGTGGGAGGAGCCCAGTGGGCTCTAACTACTACAAGAACCTATAGGAGAGTGCGGAGACAAGACCAGTCACCCTGCACAAGAAGAGAGAGCATCAGTGACCGGTCTTTATTACAGGAGGGGGCGGAGACAAGACCAGTCACCCTGCACCAGGATAGAGAGCGGCAGTGACCGGTCTTTATTACCGGAGGGGGCGGAGACAAGACCAGTCACCCTGCACAAGGAGAGAGAGCAGCTGTGAGTGGTCTTTATTACAGGAGGGGGCGGAGACTAGACCGGTCACCCTGCAGAAGGAGAGAGAGCATCAGTGACCGGTCTTTATTACAGGAGGGGGCGGAGACAAGACTAGTCACCGTGCACAAGAAGAGACAGCGGCAGCGATAGGTCTTTATTACAGGAGGGGGCGGAGACTAGACCAGTCACCCTGCACAAGGAGAGAGAGCGGCAGTGACCGGTCTTTATTACAGGAGGGGGCGGAGAATAGACCGGTCACCCTGCAGAAGGACAGAGAGAGCGGCAGTGGTGTTCTGTAGTCCTTAGAGAAAACTGGGCCGGGTTGATAACACGATCATTAGCTGCTAAGATGCTGATGACACCCCCGCTGTGTGTGTGTTCGCGGAGGATTTGATGATGTCATCATCGGAGGTTCCTCTTCGGGCGGATCGCGGTCGTGTCTACGTGACGGTTTCGCCATCTCCGAGTTGCTCAATATTCTGCAGATGTTTCCTCCGGACTCGGAGCCGCTCGTCTGTTCCCGGCACCAGAACCTTATAACCGGGGCCCCCAACCTGCACCTGATCCTGAGGGGCGGTCCTAGTTCCACCTGAACAGCCAATCAGTGCCTCACACAGGACCGCGGAGAGGAAGTGTCGGCTCCGGAGGGGCCCACGCCAGTAAACGGTATTTTGGGGCCAGAAATGTTATTTAATCACAGCGCCCACCACCCCCGATCTGGGTATGGGGGAGTGGCCAATCATTAGGCTTGTGTGATGTCACCTGGAGGCGGGGAGAAGCCATGACCCCGTGTAAGCTCCGACACAGACGACGCGGAGCTTACACAGGGTCTCCTCAGTGCTCTGGCAGGGGAGGGGGGGTCAAGAGAACCTGTCACATCATCATCATCCTGATTGGTTACACTCATTCACTTGAATTGATACATTTATAGACTTCGATGTCCTGATCACGCCGGGCGGTCTATCGGGCCGCAAATCCCGAATGCGCTCATCACACGCTCATCCCCCAACTCCCTCCCCCTCCTATTACATGAATAGACGCTGTGGCAGGGTGACAACGCTGTTTGTTCTGCAGTGAAATTGCACAGAAGTGTTGTCACCCAGCAGACAGCCGTTACAGCAACTAGAATGGTTTTTTAAAACTCCTATAAATATATTTGCTGATTGTTGTAATCCCCCCCCCCCCCCCCCTCCCAGCA